AAATTTATTTTATTTTTATAATTTAAAAAAAGTGAAATAATTATTACCACTAACAAAATATGACATTTTTTATGAAAAAAATAAAAACATGACATTTGTTACTGAAAAATAACCATAGAAACGCACCCATTTCAATCCCTTAATTCTAAACCGGAGAAACCTGTTTTCAATTTCATATTACAGTCTTATGTCTCTATCATGATATCATTTCCACAATCTAAGCAATTGGCGGCGCCAAAAATAGTTTTTTAGGGGGGTAAAAGGTTTTTTTTTTTTTAACTAAAAAAAATTATTTGTGTGTAAATTGAAAAGTTAATAAAATTTTAATAATTTTTTATAGAAATAAATAATATTTATTAATTTTTAATGATAAATTAATAGTGATTGATGAAGAAACTAATTTAAATGTCATTAATTGAAAGACAAAACAAACATGTATAATGAGTAAAAAAACCACAGCTAAAAAAAGAAATTACTAAATATTTTTTATTTAATTAATTTACATTATTTTCATCTTTTTTATTATTTATATTTTCTTCAGCCTTTTTCATTATCACTTAAAAGTAATATTCAATAACAAAGAATAAGTAAAATGATAATAAAATTATTTAAGATAGAAATAATAAAATAAAATTAGAGACCAAAATCTGGATCGTCGAAGGTTAGGCCAGCCTGGGCCGCACTAGCTCTGCCGATCATCTTATCTAGTTCATATTAGTCGAGTACATGTCATAACTTTTTTTTTTCCTTCATGTAGGCTCTATTTGGGCATGTTGTAACGTTGTTTCGAGCCATCTCACCAACCGCATCTTTGAAAGTAGCTTTTTCTTTTGTTGCCGATGTTCCGACAATTAGACCTCAGTTTTTTTTAATAAATAGGGCACCTTGTTCCTGAAAACAAACCTCTAGGCACATTGCCATTTCAATACTTTGTTTCGATCTAGTTAAGTTTATTTTCAGTTTCATTAATTCCAGCAATCCTAGTTTAGTCCATCATGCCTCTGTCAATCCTTGTCGCAAGTAAACCACTGAAATTCACTGACAGGCTCAAAAGGTTTGCCATCCCAACAAAAGCATTACCCTTGTTCCCGCAATTGAATGGTCGTCATTTCGTGGCTGTGGACATTTGGCATGGCTCAAAACGTTGGCCTATGGTCATATCCATTCGCACGCGCGGCCACAAAAAACCTGTAATCTCTAAAGGTTGGATGCCCTTTGTCCGCGAAAATCAGTTGAAGGTTGGTGATGTAGTCACAATCTTCAAGGAAGAAGATGAAGCCGGAATCTGGCATCGGATTGAGATCGAGAGAGGGAGCAACCCACCAAGGCCAACTCCAGTCGCTGTGCCAACCGCCCACAACAGTAATTTCAATGTGGAGGTCCCTGCGAACATCCCTGCCATCAAACAAGAGACGCAACTGGCCCTTGGAAATGTTCTGCCAATTGCTCGGAAGGCTGAAGAGCTCAGTTTGAAGCCAGATAACAAGAATTTGGGGTTGACACTGCACAAGGGACCGCAGCCGCCCATGTTTCCCTTTCCAGCAGAAGTGGAACACAAGAGCACTGGTGTCGTGCAGCAGCAAATTGCCCATGAAACCCACCATTATGATCCTAAAACAGCCAATTTGAACCCAATTCTTAATCAAACCAGTGCAGATGAATTTCGTCTGAACTTAGAACTGACTCTGGCACCACCTGTGGTGGCCTGTGAAGGAAATCAGGCGCCTACAATTCCAGGGATTGTTTTGAATTTAGATCTTACTCTCGCACCACCCAAAATATAAATTAGGTGCCTTTCCTTACATTCTCGGTGAATTCCCCACTTCCAAACATTTCCTAGATTTTTTAATATTCCGCCTTTCCTCTTCTGAATATCCGCAAAATGTACCGCTTAATAAAAGGAAGTGGATTTGTGTTTGTTATTCTTGTTATGGTACCATGTATTCCCTTTTTCTTTTCTTTTCTTTTTTTTTTTCTTTTTTTTTTTTTTGTGATAAAGGGGGCCATTAGCAGCAATTGAAAAATCCCAATTAAGGGGAAACTGCTTGACTGGTTGACCCATCTTATTTTGATATAATCATGTCCCTTCGTTTCCCTGAATTCTGAAAATAGCGATGGAAAGGCCTAAGAATCTTCACCCTATAAGCACAGGTCGATCTCTTCCCCTCGACGCTGAAAACCCATCCTTTTGGTCCGCCCCGAAGCGGATCGGCAGATAGTGCTTTCTATGGTGGTGTCCTTGCTCTACCTCTCGTCCTATAAGTCAAGATTTCAGCAAATATTTATGTTATTGTTTCTTACTTTATATATACTTTGCAGTTGCACAAATGGACACCCAATCCCAATCCCAATTTCCATAGATCCAGTATTTTTATGAGACTGTTTGTTATTATCAACACCCTTTCCCTCAAAACCATGAGTAGTTATAACTCGCTAATTACCTCCATGTCTTTTCTTTTTCTTCTTCTTCTTTAATAAGAAATTTCGACTGTAATTCTGCAGTTCAAAGTTGAACCTTTGTTTTACTCTGTCTTGGGTGAGTTGTTCTTCATAGGGTAAACTGGCGATCTTGTTAGATGGAGAAAAAAAATTAAAAAAGAAAAAAAAGAAAAAAAAGAAGAATTAAAGCTAGACTGAGCCTACCACACTAATACTAAGAGATATTGTCCATAATGTATAGATGCACTTACCAGATTTTGGGCACATGGGTTCAATTGTGAGCCATCTATACATACATACATATATATATATATATATATATTTAAGTTGTCTCACTTTGATGTTGCACAACTATAGAGGTAATCTAGGATTAATTAATAAAAACACGCAATCATTAATATTTGAATTTCATGTGCCAACAAGTTATACTGTTCTGTGAGCAGAAGTTAGAATTTTTAAATTCAACTTATATATGCACAAAAGATTTGAAATGATGACCTTCTATTGTGTAATCTACTTCAATAATATGTTAGAGTAATAATAATAATTGTTAATGGATGCCATAATTGTAATTCACCTTATATATATTTATATATTATAATTAAAAAAATAAAAGTAGAGTTGAAAATGATTAAGGTTTGTAGTTTTGGAGTCTTTTTTCTTTTCGTTTTTTAAAGAGCCGACTAACCAATACTTTTTCTTATCTATTTAAAGTGAAAGCAGAGTAGAAAATAAATGCAAAACTTCTTGTTCTCAACATCTTTTATAATTTTCACTTTTAATCAATATTCTTTATAATTTGAAACCATAAAAAACCTCAAATTATCAACAAAATTAAGGTACAAATAAAAGATTTGACTGTTAATTTTTGAGTTTTTTACAAATTATAAATTATAAAGGATGTTGATTGAGAATAAACATTTTTTAGGATATTAATCACGAAAAAAAATAATGTATAAGATACAAATATAGGGTTTGGTTGAAAATAAAACAGTTGTACGTTTGAAGGCCATATCTAGAATTTGAAGTTGAAATTTTGGCACAAAGGGAAGAGTATTGCCAAAAATCAACAAATTTAAATAAGAGAAGAAGACTAACTAGTGAGTGGTTTCCATATTAATGAATGGAGGCTTTGGAGTGTTAGTGAGTGGTGGCCATATTCCTTTAATATCATTTACTGTGGTAATCTTAAGGCCTTTTAGTTAAGGACGGCTTTTAACTTTTAGTACCTTTTAAGTGTTTAAGGATCATTCCCTGATCCACTAACAGCATGTTCAATTTTAACCTTTGCTTGAAATTATTGATAGTTTGATCTCTCTTTTGGCTTGTAAATAGTTAGGACTTAGGACGCTTCTAGACTTGTTTGAGAGGTGGTAGGGACTATTTTTAATTTGGTCAAATTATGAATGCAAGTTAAAATTTAAAAACTTTTCATGGGGAGTTAGGTATATCTAAATTTTAATGTCTAATTTTTCTTTTATTTTAACCAAGACTCAAGTAGTACCTATTTTTTAATAATATAATGAATACATATTTTCTTTCATCTTTTAGTTTAATAGAAAATTATGATGTGAATATATGTAATTAGATAATTAAAACATTATAAGTTTTTTTTTTGTTTTCTAAAATAAATTTAAAATAAAAAAATATATGAATAATATTTTTCACCTTTACAATAAAAAAAATTGATTAAAAAAATTCTTAGGCACTGAATTAGAAAAATTCTTTTGTTTTTTTTAGGTGAAAACCTCATTTTGGTTCCTGAACTATTGTATGAACCCCTGATTTGGTTCTTAAACTCAAAAAATCACTGATTTGATCCCTACTCTCCGATTTGGTCCTTCCATTAAAAATTTGATGACGTGGCCTGTTACTTCGCTGTTACAAAATGACATGTCACATATTAATACACATGAAAGACAATATGACAAAAAAAGTGATGACATGAAAAAATAATAATATAAAAAAATTAAATAAAAAATTAAAAAGTAAATTCTTTTTTTTTTTTTCTTTTTAAATTCATCGCTAATATGAAATTTTATTGATTGAATTTATTGATAAATAAATAGTCTTTTAAGTTAC